GAAGGCATCAGTCCGCCTGCAAGGTTGGTGATTATGAAGAAGAAACAGATCAGCTGTCTTGGATTTTCAGTGAAAAAAAGTTTTCTACCCTAACCTATTAATTCAAGGCTTCCACAAGACCTGGGAAGCAACATTACCTCTAAATCCACATTTACTGTACAGTTCAACCCAAGATTAGATTGGCCAAGAAATTTATATCAAAGTATTTTGTTACTGGTTTAATGGAAATGTCCTTTTTACTAGGAGGGAAAACTTCAGTGACTGCTGCTTTTTGGTCTAAATATTTTTTTTCTGAGAATTGTGAATCTGTCAAGATGTGTCAAAGCAAAGCTTTGAGAAGTTTTTGTTGGGAGAACTATGTTTTTCTTCTGTGTTTCTTCAGTCAGAGCAGAAATAGAAAGTGAAAAAGCGAAAGAACACAGGAACTGGAGGAAATTCCTAGCAAAGGGAAAATAAAGGTAAAGGTTCTGCAGAAACCCATGTTTTTATTAAAGGGAGAGAAACCACAACATTTGGAAGATGTGAAAAATGTGGGGTTTTTACATTTGTTCTGAAGCGTGCATCCTTTCCTTAACAGCCCTAACCTTGGTGTCACTCTTACTTAGGACCTCAGTTTGGTTTTTTTTGTTAGTGAGTCGTTACAAGCCGGTCTCTTTTCCCTTATTTTTTTCCCAGATGCAGAGATGTGTGAGTGAAGTGGCTGTTGCCTCTTGCAGCACCCTCTCCAGGAGGCTGCAACAGCAGATGCTTCACATCTGAGCACCTTCCAAACAGCCCCAGCAGGAGAAATCTGCTCCCAGTGCCCTTCTCTGGTGGCTTTCAGGGGCAGTTCCTCAGCAGTTTGGGGTGGTTCTTCCTGTGGTGGCTTCACCCTTGGCAATGATGGTCCACAAAGGAGCATGGTCTTCTCCATTCAGCAGCAGAAGAGTTGCCAGCCACAAGGTTTGGAGGGGATGGAGCTTCCACTGGGAACGATGCTCAGCTGTGTCTTCCCCTGACAACATCTGCATCAGGGAATAACAAAGATGGGGATGCAGCAGGAGGGACAGTGCTCGCAAATAACAAAATGAGCGTCTATTAATATCTGAGGAGTGCCAGAGTTTTGCTGTCATTATAGTTCTGCCTTTCCCTCCCTCACATGTGCCAGCTGCTAAAAATGAGTCATTTCTTCTTAGAAAGCTGTCCTGCTGCCTTGGCAAAGCCCTTCTGCTTGGTGCCTTGATGGTAGGTTGCTTTATATTTAAGGAAATTCGGCTGAGCCGTGGTCATGACGCGTTGTTGTCGTTTAACTACAGATTTTTGCAAGGAGATCAGAAGGAAAAAAAAGGGTTGTGAAACATCTTGTGCTGCCATAGAGTTCAAAGAGGGTGTCATCTGAGCCACATCGACCTCATCCAGTTTCAGCTTTCTGACCTTTGGTCCAGGTTTTGCAGAGTAAGTGTAGAATAACCCCACCTAAATCACAGGTGTAAATCCCCCCCAGACAAGCACAATCAGCACATGGTAAATGCCAGGGTACTTCCCTGGACTATTCTGGTGAACAAGTTGATGGGCAGAGTTACGGTTCAAGCAAATGTGAGGGCATTTTTGGAGAGAGGGAGTTCTGAATTAGAAATGTGACTTGTATAAAGACAATGTTATGGTTTGGTCTCGGTCAATGACTGGTGTAAGTAGAAAACTGAATTTATTGCTTGCTTTGTGCTGAATCAGGTCTTCTAAAATCTAACTTTTAACAGAAGAGGTTTCTCCTTTACAACAGGGATCCATCCGAGGGCACTGAATTACTGCAGTATTCCCCACAGCCATCCGATGATAAGGGTATGTCTAAATGGTATATTGAGTGCAGACATGAAATTGCTCTGCCAGAGCTCTTGATATCTGGACAGACTCCAGCATTTACCCAGAAAGCTGTACGACTGCCAGGAGAGCAGAGCAGAGCCCAACTTTGTACATGTCAGAACGGTCATGTCTGCTGGAACAAGCTCATCTCACCCATGGTCTAAGTGACAGTCATACCTCCGGGGTTGTCTTCTTTTGAATTCGCCCAGACCACCGTGATTCATGGAGATTGTTCAGGGAAAGTCAGGGAGATCTGGGAATAAGGAATAAATTGGAGAAGACTGCATCTCTGGCTGCCAATTCACAGGATGGAAAAAAAAACACTGGCTTAGTAAACTGTTTGCTACAAGCTATTCACACAGCGCTGCCACAGAGGCACTCCTGCTGTCGGAGGTGCTGGTGCCAGTTCATGTCAATCATGGGGTTTTACTGCTGCCCCCGTGTTCCCCTTTCAGCCGGGAGATCATTTTTTCAATTCATTTGTGTCAGTGCAGCCAGGTCCCATGTGGAATCCCAGATACCAGTGGTAGAAACGATGCGCGAGATGAATGGACGTGAACAAGCCCTTAGGGGGAAGCGTATCCCTGACGCTGGAATGACAGCACACTGAATCTTAGCCAGGGGCTGAGGATCCTCAAACACATGCCAAATGAAGGAAACCTGCCCGGGAGCGAAGGATTTTTTATTTTAAAAATTAAGATGATAAAAACAAGTGTGATTTCCCAGCTCCTGCCCACTCCCATTTCATATCCTGGAAATGAACTAGAAAAAAACCCCTTTTATTTCCACAAAACTCTAGGTGGTTCAGAGTTTGACCCAGTTTTAGAGGTAAGGTACTTGTCTCAAATACCAGATCTAGATCGCTACTAGATCTTGGATTCTGGTTTAGGGTCAATTCTATTTGAATGGCCAAAGGCAAATACTTCAATAATAGTGGCCTTAATTTTTTTTTTTTTTTGCGGGGGGGGGAATTTAATTAGGAGCTTGATCTGGTTTTGGGGCAGGACACGAAGTGGATTACAGGAGCAGCTGGCTCTTTAATTAGGGCCATTTATCTTTTGTTAATGTTTAACCTTTACTTGCACCGAGAGGCAGTGACAGCGAGGGGCAGAGCTTCGGCACCGTGGTTTTGTGTGCAGAGCCTCAGGTCAGCCAGGTGTGCGCAGGGTGGCGTGACTGGGAATACGCTCACCTTGCTCCAGTCCCACTGCAGCAGTCCCAAAGTACCAACGGGCAACTGTGACATACGGCTATTTATAGAGACCAGGGACTAGAGGGTAAATATTTATTTAGATTCTGATGCTTAATCTGCTACTGGCTGACTGTGTGGAAAGCCTGAGCCCCCACTCTTTCTGCAGCAATTTATAACCAGAGCCTTCATCTCCCCTTCTCCCCGAGCTCCCATACACATTCCCCAGGATTAATTCTGCAGAAAATGGACATGGCCTGGGTTCAGACCCTCCGGCACCTTCTGGTCCCAGACCATCCTGGCAGGCATCCTGCCCTCCCCATCTCTCCTCTCTCATTTCAACTAACTGGCATTCAGAGGTAGAAACTGCAAATCCAGGCACCCAGAGAGCGCGAAGGGTAACGGCACGAAGCCGCCGTGGCTCTGCTGTAGACAGACTTGTTTGCGATGACGTGGGATGGGACAGAGCTGCCTCTGGGAGCTGTGGAGCCACTTGGATTCATCACTAAGCTGGCTGAAGGATGAGGGCTGCGCTGCTCTATAGGCTGACAAGGCAGAGCCACCGCCGTGGTAAAGCCACAAAGTCCTACAGCACCCCCAAACCCCGCCACTGCCACCTCCTCCTTGCCTCAAGCAGAACAAGAGATCCGTGTCCAAGGCGGGGACAGGGAAGCTGTAAGGGTGCTCCATGTCCATCAGCAAGGACTGGTGGAGACAACATCTCCCCTGCCCCACCCCAGCCACCAAGGGCTGCCCTGGCCCCAGTGCCTCCCACCACAACCAGTGACCAAAAGACTGGGAGCTCCACCCCAGCCCCCAAAGCAAGGGCTGTAGTAGGAAGCATCAGCAGAAGAGGCTGCAGACTGGGATGACTGGGGAGGACTGTTAGCACGAGTGGGGTGTGCCTGTGTTTATTAACGAGGTCTGTGCTCGTTAATAGGGCACATGGTCCCAGCTGTCCCATCCCAGGCAGAGCTGGTAAAGCATCCTGTATCCCTACATCACCTGCTGCTTCATCCATCCCAGGTGCTGCTGGAGCTCTGCACACCGGGAGGAATGACTGGGGGAAGCTGGTGTCCAGACTGGTCCTGCGAGGGCTGAAAAGTCAGGGGAGCAGCAAGGTCTGTCTCTGAGCAAAGGAGAGTGGTGCAGGACAGGGAGGGCAGCTTTGTACAGGCTCGTGCCCTGCCTTGGCATGTGAAAGGGGAGTAGCTGGAAGTGGCGTTCTCTGGGGATCCAGGCTGGTGTTTGGGAAAGGTACCCCGGGACAGTCACTGTTGCAGGAGCCCCGGTTTCCCATCTTTGCGCCAGCCCACACCGAGCAGTGTCAGCTCTCCGTGCTGTCATCTGGAGCCTTAGCAGGAGGTGCTGCTGTCCCAGAACAGGCCAGTGGCAGCACCTCCCCATCTAGTATGTGTCGGGCTTTTCTGATAAGAACAGGCGTTTCCCTTTCATTTGCCGGAGTGTTTAATGGCAGTTGAGAATCATGTACTCCTCCGTAATGGATTTTTCCTTTGCAATTTCCTACCCTCGATGTTTCCTGCGTGGACACATCAGAGATAAGATCCTTAACTTCGGGACAGGTGGAGCAGCTGATCAGGCAGCAGATTACTGCAGCCCTGTCTTCTTCATCCCCGCAGGGCCTGCTGTAAGAGGGATGGCAAAGCAGCAGACTTCTCTCCCTGTTTAGCTCTTCAGGCTAGCAAAAGTGTAAGAAGGCCTGGTATCCCTAAACTAATGGGGCAACTGAGACTAAATAGCTTGTGCAAATTTGTGCACAGGAACCTGTAATACGCCCAAGAGCTACCCAGAGCATCCCGCAAAGGAGCGCAGAGTCTGGAAGAAAACCCTCAACACAGCCAGAAGAGTTTGCATTGCATGTACCATTTTTATTTTCATATATATATATATATATATTACATCATTTAAAAACAGAATATTTGTGAAAGAAATGGGGGTTTTGGAGGGCGGGGGGGGTGAAAGCAACTCATCGTTTTCCACACAGCCCCTTTGCCTGCCACTTAAAGTGACCTGCCCTGGGGAAAGGCTGGCCTGCAGACAGAGCTTGTTCCCCATCTCCCTGCTGCTACTGAGACAACCTGTGGTTGTCCTCTCCTCCCCTTGGGGAAAAAAAAGGTGTTTACCAGCCCTTCACCTCCAGAGTCAGTGCAAAGCGTGTTTTATTGCTCCATCATATGTATACCCTGGTCCTTTGCAGGGCTGGGAGAGACCAAGGGCTTCCTGGAGGGGTGGAGGAAGGAGCTGGGGAAGGGGCTGTGTGAAGCACCGTGCACTCGGATGCCATGAGATGGGCGAGGAAGAACCAGAATTACTAGTGATAGTGTGGATTCAAGTATACGTGTAAAACCCATCACACAGAGCTTCACGGAAGGCTGCCACCAGTTCTGACCAGGAAGAGACCAGTTTCTCCAGGGCAGTGCTGGCCCCCTGAACCTCGCAGCACCCGGTGTTTGGCAGGGATGGCTCAGGGTTTGGCTCGCAGCAAGAGGAATGGCTAGAAGGGAGGGGTGGTTCTGAGAAGCAAACTGATAGCTCAGGCAGATTCCTCTATCCAGAAGGAAAAAGCTGGGAGAGAGTGGGAGTAAAAAATGCTCTCAAAGAGGCTCAGTGAATGAGCCTCTTCTTTCGGACTCCCAGCCCTTTTCTATGTACCTGTTATAACCATCTGAATGAAATCCTTCTGCCCACCCTCATGCTTCTGCTTGAACCAAGGTTTTTCTGTCTGAACAATTCCCTATGTTCCCTTAACACCTCTCCTGGGGTAGCCTCTTGCACAAAGAACTCCTCACCAAATGTACCACCTTCCTCCTGCGCCCCTTGATACATAGGGAGCTGGCAGAGGTACGAGGAACCCCGCTGAGCTCGTGGCCTCGAGCGAGGCTGCGATCAGTGCCCGGACTCATCCGTGAGCGGTTCCTCCAGCCCTGGGGACTGGCACTGCTGCCTGCACCCCTCTGCTAGGTGTGGGGTGCATCTCAGCCTTCGCTGGGCACTGAGATGCTGAAGCCATCCCATCTGTTGATCCTGAGGCTGGGTGGAGAAGGGAAATAGTAAAAGCTTTTCTTTGGTCCCTCTTCCTACCCACTCCAGGAGCGAGCAGACCAAGCAAAGTGCTGGTACCAGTGGGTGCAGCTAAGCTGCGGGCATCAGAGGGAGCCAGTCCTTCCTTGGATGCCACCCAGGCTTGGGTCTCTGGTGCTAGATAAATGAGGTGCTTTCTCAGCAGCTGTCCACCAAACCCTGCAATGACTTAGGTAGCTTTGCTTTGAGTGGGGGTGAGACTTTCCTTCCAACCCAAATGATGCCGTGAACAGTCCTCTCCTTGTGAAAAGCCACGGCAGACCCTTCTCCTCATCTTCTGCCTTCATCTTCCAGTTGAGAGCTTCCCACCCCAGTTTCCCTTGCTCACCAGAGGAAGAAGCTAAAGCCCCGGGGGCAATCATGCCCCAGTACCACCACAGTGCCTGGGAAGGTGGCAGCAGGGAGAGCTGCTGTTCAGTGCATCAGACAGGCTTGCTTTCCTACGAGGTACAATATGTGACAGGGTTGGTGGCTAAACAAAGTGTAGTACACTGGTTACAAATATCGTAGTAGATCAGGGCTTTATTCCCGCAGAATAAAGTGGCTGATTCCGCCCTGTAAGAAGTCTGGGGTTATTCTAAGAATGTTAGTTTTATCTAGAGCTCTTGCTTCTGTAGCAGACACGTACTTTTTTTTTTTTTTTTTTTTTTGGGAAAAATGGCTCCTGGCACTGCCAGCCTGAGAGTAAAAGCCTTCTGCATATAGTTAAGGTGGCCCGTGGTACCTTGTTCAGGCCCTTGCCCAAACTCTGCCGAGTGGGGCTTCGAGGTAGATACCCGCTGCAGCTCTCTAGAGAGGACCCACGACCCTGTGAAGAGCATCAGCTTCTGGGGAGGGCCAAGCCTTCTCGTCTTGGTCTGTTTTGATCCCAGCAAATCCAACTCTGCTGTAGCCTGCTCCTGCCCCTGTAAAGCACTCAACACCTTCCCCAACAGCAGTCCAGTATGAACCAGTGACGACTGCCTTTGCTATGGGTCAGAGCAGACCACAGCTGATGGATACTGAGGTCACCTGGACAAAGAGGGGGACCTGGAAGGGGGGTTTTCCCCTTCTGTGGGAGCTCAGCCCCTCTCTGCCCTCGGAGCACCCAGGTGGCTGTGCCTGCAGTGCTGTTGCCATCCAGTGACAGGACACAGTACTACAGACCAGTCACCCATTCACAGTCCCAGTTCAAGCTTTTTTCCACTCGGTCACCAGTGGCAGGAAGGCTAGGAGAGGTGAGAGCAGAGGGAGACAATATGCGGATATCCTGAGAAAATCCTCCCTGCAAATCCCCTGAGAAAACGGATAAACCGAAAACTTTCCTTTGCTACAGCACCTATGATAAAGGTTCTCTTCTCTATCCTGGTAGCACAGACTTTACTAAGGCTTCATCATCTACCATAAAGCTGAGAAATGTTCTTTTCTTTTTTTTTTTTTTTTTTTTTTTTTTTTTTTTTTGTTGGCTTTACAGCTGAATTTGGTTTTCAAGGTGAAACACTTTATCTGGAAGATGAGAATAAATTACAAGCAACATGGCTTTTTGGACAAGGAAAACTTCAATCTGTTAGAGTTCTTGGAGTGTGTTGCTGAAGTAGTGAATAAAAGTAGATGTACTGTTTTCTTGCCGAGGTCCTCTGAAAAAAGTCCTGCTGCAGACACAAGCAAGCCAGAGACCTAGCCTAGAGGACAGTGATGTGCTTATAATGTGGCTGATGAAGAAAAAAGGAATACAACAATTAGTAGTTCATTTTCACCGTGACAGAAAGGCTCCATCTGGTGGTGTTTTCACCCAGAAAAGAAGGTAAGGAGTGGGATGGGAAACCGCAGATACTCAGTTGGTTACACTGGTTCACACCAGAGAAGGATCTTGAGGAAATCTTGATCTGCTCAAGATGGGTGAACAGGTGGCACGATGGCAAATGAAGTTGTGTGTGGATAAATGCAAAGAAATAACACTTGCAAGGGGACAGATGAGCTCGGTGGGCATTCAGCTGCTCAAAGAGAGTCAGCGCAGCCGCAAAACCTGAGCGTGGACAGTCTGCTGGAGATTTGTGCTGCTCAGCACAGATAAAACAAATAAAGGAACCAAGAGATATATAGAAGAGGAATATTATAGCACATATTTTAATGCCTTTCTATTAAGCGCAGTCCAGGGGAAGGGGATATTGCAGAAACAGTCAGGGTCAAAATGATAAGCTCAGAAAGACCCTGCTATGGAAATAGGCTGAAAGTTTGGTATTTTTATGCTAAATGAGGCAGGAACATGAGGGATGCAAGTGTTATAAGATTATGGCTGGTCTTGCTAAGCCTCTGCAGCTGCAAGGAGAAAGGCTGTAAGGTGTCCTGTCTGTGCTTGGACAGGACAGGTAGTAACAAGCTTAAACTGCAGCAAGGGATAGAAATAGAGGAAAAAAAAAATCTATCTGAAGGGTAAAGATTAATGCAGGAATTGGTGGTATGGGAAAGCAATACTGGAGGGTTTTAAAAACAGGTTCGACAGCTGTCTGTCAGGAACGCCTTTGGGCTGCTCTGAAGGTCTCTGTGCCCCACCTTGGGCTCTCACGGTGGTCACCACAGCGGGGGACAGCAGGCAGGGCCGCAGGCGAGCCGGGCTCTGCCCTGGTTTGGCAATTCCTGGGCCAGGGATGACTCAGAGCACTGTCAGTTGTGGCCACTCAGCCCGTTTTGCAGTAGCAATACCAGGCGAGTTCCCTGCTCCAGCCGTCTTGTGCAAAGGTCCCCGAGGGCAGGAGGGCTCAGCCGCTCAGGGCTGCAACTCCCCTTGTCCCCGGCTCCAGCCCAGAAGGGCTCTGTCTGTTAGGAGGGGAGCACAGGACCACTGCTCATTTCCTGTCTCTGAGGTCCCTCCCCAGCTGACTGACCTGCTCGAGGAGGTGGGTGATGCTAGACTAGGATGAGTTTGGCTCAGACAGGGCCAGTCACAGTTTCAAGCCTTACAGAGTCACCTGGAGTAAAAAGAATAGAGCTAAACCATGAGACTCACACTGGGACTCTCTCCCTATTTTGCAAGTCAGAAAGATTTGGGATGGGAGAGTGGAGCCTGCTTCCCTCCCTCCCCCAAAAGTCATGCTCAAGCATTAGTCACGAGCAGGACAAGGTGAAGTCGCTTCCCAAAGACACCATGCCCAGAAGAGGCTGGGCCCTGCTGTCTGGGCAGCTGGAGAAGACTGCATTCCTGGGCTTAACCTGCCTGCACCATCCTGCCCAGCTGAGCCCAGAAGACAACGGGCTGATGCGGGGCTGGGATGCAACTCCAGTGCCTCTCACTGCGAGCAAGGGAGACCAACTGGTCTCACTGGGGCTGCTTGTTTGCCAGCATCCGAGCCTACTGAATGGCAGTCCCCAGCAGAACTGGGGGGTGGGCAGGCAGGCAGCCTGCCTACACCAGCCATTAGTCACCCCCCAGCTTTTTAGTGTTTGGGAACCTGCTGGTGCTCCCTAGGCCTGCCGGCACGCAGCCTTTTTGCTCACGGAGGGCTGTGAGGCTGCACCCCAGCACCTGCATCGGCTGTGGGAGAGCTGCAGGTCCCCAGGTTCAGGCTGCAGCAGGGAAAACCTGCCTGCCAGCGCTGCCACATGTTACCCTCGCTTGTCAGAGACAGGTAGTCAGCGTGGTTCTTTAAAAAGGGGAAGGGATGCTTGTTAAAAGGAAAGAGAAGGCTCCAGTACTTGGGCTCAGGAACAGAGGGAAGGTGAAAGCAAGCCCCACACGGGCTAATGCTGGCTTGCCCCTCCAGTGACTTACAGACAACAGTTGCAGCAACGAAAGCTGCAATCCTTCTTCAAATATAGGCATGGTCTGGGCTAAAACCATCAGCAAATGGGGAGCCCCGCACCTGCCCCAGGGAGTGGACAAGACCCGAGCACTCACGCACACACACTCACGCACACACACACACACTGGCATTATCACAACACGTCTGTGACTCCAGAGGAGCCTGTTCTGCCTCGCTGCTGCCTGCTAGGAGTGTCACAGTGACGCTCTCTCCTCAGCAGCTGAGCGAGGTATAAAACAACAGAGTTGAACCTTCCCCCCCCTAGTGCTTCTCTCCATAGCTCCTGGTGGTGTCTGTGCAGGTGGCAGAGACCCTGGGCCTTGTGGTGGGAGGGTCACAGGTCCAAGCTGAATCCCCCCTCTCTTGGGAGACGTCAATGCAGAGCAGAGATTTGAGAGGGAGCTTGGCCAGACCCCCCCAGCCTCTGTCCCCACATCAGTTAGGGCCTGAAGAAGCGTCGTACCACTAAATGCCCCACCATGACCAGGGCCACCACCACCAGCATGTACTTCATGTAAACATTGTCCAGCTCGAGTGCAGCCACCTAACGAGAAACAGAGAATAACCAGAGCACGTTAGATCTGCCTGGGCCGGGTTCCTGCTCTGCCTGCACCTGGGTCACCCCCCCAGCCTCGGCAGTGCCGCAGTCCCCAGGCTGCACCTTTCACTGGCCGGAGCACAGCTGCCTCCCCTCGCCCCCCCAAATCCCCCCACACTCCCGCTGGCTCACCCATCCTCCCTGCTGGGCGATCCACTGGGCGATGCGGTTCCGGAGCATGAATTCCGCCACGTACCGGGCGATCCGGCGGAGGAAACCCGGTATGCCGTGCTGGTAGACGTGGATGGCCATGCGGTAGCCAAAGCCCAGCAGTGCAATCACCCGGCCCCAGTTAATGCCACTCTCGAACAAGCTGAAATGAAGCCGATGATGGTCTGATTAGCACTGCCCTGGCTGGCCCAGACCTCCCTAGTCTCTGCATCCCAGGCACCGGGCTCTCGAGCAGTGCTGGTTGCAGAGAAGGGCTGGGGATGCTGTGCTAAATCCTCAAGGTACATCCCAGCTGCACCGACAACGTGGTCCTTTGGTGGCCCAGTGACATGTGGCCACTCCCAACCTGCTTTCAGAGCAGAACAAACACAGTCTTGGACACAACCGCTGTTTACCTCAGCCAGGTGGGTTAGGGATGTCCTAGGGAAAAGGAAATTCCCAAATCCTGTCGACACAGCTACAGGCTTGGAAGTGCTGGAGGGGAAGCTTTGTGGTGGTGGTTGTTGACCTTCCTGCCTGTCCTGCCTTTCCCTCAGGTCTCCACCTGAACGCAGGGCACATCAGCTGCCTGGAGGGCCTGGGTTTTCAGTATTAAACCAGGGAAACTGGAACTGGTTTAAGCCGTCAGGCTGAGGCTGCAGCAAGCTCAGTAGCTGCTACGCATGAAGCCAGGAGCAGAAACTACCACAACCCTATCCCAAAGCATCCCTTGCTTGTGTGGTCATACCTGGAGGTAAGGAAGTTTATCTAAGGACAAAGCATGTTAGAACAGGATTTTCCCTTTTCCTGCACCGACAAACCCCTCCAAGACCAAAACTTGATCTTTCCTTAGACTGATGCTCCCAAGGGCTGGGGGGGGTGTCTCCAAAATGTGCCTACTTGATGCCTGCTGCTCCTGATCCAGGTTTTGGTTGCTGTGGGCACAAACTGCACCGCTGCACTGATTTATCTAGACCAATTTTTGAAGGTGTTTTTCCTGGTTTCCAGCAAGGCAAGCAAGAAGGAGAAGAAAAAAAAAAAAAAAAAG